TATTCAAAAACAGAGCGACGAAAAGGAACTCCACGAAACTCTTAGGAGCTTTTAAAATGGAGACTCGGTGTTAAAATTAAAGTTTGTTTAGACATAAAGACAGTATATAACTGCCTAACTGCAAAGATACACCCCCTCTCACCACAACAGTCATATTTATTTGATTTACATTTATTTTGAACATTGCCATCAGGACATAGTGCATGACAAACGTCACATAACCACTACGGTACTAATTCCACCTTAATTCAGAGTCGCTCAGCTCAGTCTTACATGTGTAAATGTTCGTATTGACACTGTGTTTTTAGCATTGGTTTAAAGTAATAACCTATCAGATATTTACATGAACAACAAAACGAATGGAAATATATTTGTCTTAACTATCTTTTTCAGCAAAGTGGCGTATCCATATTTTAAAGAAGGGGGTGCTGATGTAATGAGAGTCCACATCACGTCAGTACCATCGTGGTTGGCGGTGACGCAAAAATGTCAGTATTTTATACCATGCCCCAAAATGGAACTTACATTACCTATTAAATAATAATGCTTTTGACAGATTGAGTAAAAAAAAACCCCAATTAATTAATTAGGTACCCGAAAATGAAATTTAAGTACTTAACTACCATATTCAACTGAGCCCTACCATGGTTGGGGCTCAGGTGAGAACATTTTGTGAAGTTGAGACTCGTTAGATGCACAAAAAAGCACTTGAATAGTACAAAATGTACGATATCCACCTGAGCCCCTCCCATGGTTTTGGGGCGCAGATGAGTTAATTGCAAGAATTTGAGACTTTATAGATGCCCAAAAACAACACTCGGATACTTAACATTTATGAAAATGTTAATCCATCTATCTCAGCCCACTATGGTTGAGGCTGAGATAAAACAATTTTAAGAATAATTAGATACTTTTAGATGCAGGAAAATGGCAAATACATAAAAACAACAAAAATTACTATATCCACAAAGGCATATCCCCATCATAGAGGTGAGAAAATGTAAAAAATTGGGGAATTTTGATGCCGGAAAATGGCAGTGTCATACATAAAAACTAGGAAAATTACTATATCCACCTGAGCCCCTTCATGTTTGAGGCTGCATGAGATAAAGTTGGAGAATGGCACTTTAATACTTAAAATTTATGTTGGTTATTTTTTAACATTTGTAAAGGGGATGTCAACGGGACGCAACTGCCAAAAAACTTGGCAGCGAAGGGACGCTACAATAAACAATCAACAAACTACCGGGTTTCTGGGTTGATTTGCAAGGTACTACATGGCTCAACTATTTTTTACTTAGGGGTTAATTGGTAAAAATCGCACACAAATCATACGACGTCACTGACAACGCCGGGGACGGCAACTCGATCTTGAGATCAATTTTCCGAATAAAGTTATACTAAATAACTTCTAATGACGAACTGTTGTCTTCAACTGTCTTTGTTGGTCATTCAACTGTCATTTTATCTATTTTTTCGGTGATAT